GAAGTTTCTCATGATGAGTTTAATCCACAGTGATATTGAGAAGATGGATAAAATGTAATAAATCATAAGATAATCGTTCTATCTAAATTCAAAAAAGAAAACAAGACCCAAAGATACACCTTTTTTTCCTTTATCAAATATTTATTAAAAAATATTGTGAATGTTTTTTTCATCTAGTGTTTCCTTTTTTTTGATTTTTTTGATTAAAAAATAGCTCAATTTTAAAAATGAGACTCTAACTCTTCAATAAACCTGATCTTTTTCTGACACATTTCTGTGACAAATTCTCTCGAGTCCTATTGGTGATTATCTTTAAGAGCAAATAATTAACCAATACGATCACCACACGTGTTCTATGACACATATAAACATATCTGAAGGGTGGAGAAAGCTCTTAACAGCGTTAATCGATATATGTTTTTCTTCATGATGTGCGATTTTACTTCAGTCTAACATAATCTCAACGTGAATAGGTTTTGAAAAAAAGATATACTAAGAAAAAATATGTGCATTTTAATATTAATATATACAAGAAATACTTTGTAATCGATATTGTTATCAATTTCGGTTAGTTAATTTTTTCTATAATACACATGCAGATCACCAAATTTCGGAAAATAGAAAATAATCAATAAACTAAAGAATTTAAGTAATATCGAACAAGGTGGTAATTGATATAAAAACAAAGTCGTAAAAGAGAAATGTATCAACATTTAGGAAATCGATTAACATTTTGATTTGAACCTAAAAATCGTCTCAGTTGATCAAATATATTTAATCAATATTCGTAATTTCATCATCAGAAACTATTTTTTAAATTTAGATATTGGTTTTACAATCTAATTTTCATTTCATTATGATTGATTACGGAAAAGCAAGTTTTTTTAACAAACGAAATTCATTCTTGTCTTCTTTACATGACTTGTCTATATCATATTTGAATGCTCTTATGTGGCCATGTGTGTTGATAAACGAGATAAAAAAAAAAAGAAACATTTATTTGTATATGTTTTGAGAGTTCTTATGATCAGTTGTTGACATAAATAAAATCCAAAATTTCATAAAAATATGGTGTTAAGTCTAGCGAAATGTTTATTATTTGTTATATGATGTTTTGTTGACCCATATTCTGGTAGATACTAAAATTGATAATAAGAAAATAATCTGTTTCATTTTCAAAATTATTTAGTCTATCTCATATTAGAACCAATTATTCAAAACTTTACTTTTTTTTCTTTTTATTGTTTTCTATTTTTTCATATTACAAACGAATAAGTATAAAAAATTAAAATTGTAATTATTATAGATAATTATTGTTTCAATTCTTTTTCCAAATAAATGGAATATTTAGATATTAAAACGATTGATAATTGAAATAAATATATATCAGATAGAAGATCCTATTCTATGATGATAAATGATGATATTGTATTTGAATATTGACTCAATGCAATTAAGATTAAATAAGAAAATTAAGAACGACGTACGAGGAAGAACAGAATAAGAATAGATCGCATATAGCTGAGTGGCTAAAGAGTGTGGATGACGCGACGCTGGTTCGAATCCAGTGCGAATCGATATTTTTTTTCTGTTCTGTACGTTGTTTTTCCATTGAATTTTGTCAAAATTTTTTTGGCTTGGAGTCAGAGGTACCCTCTCGAGATCTCAACGGGGACGGGGATAATTGACCACGCTGAATCCGAATATGCTATTTTTATTTTGCGAACACCTACGCTTAAAAACCGCTCCGCGGTGATATGTATTGAATCACATTGTCTTAGTACTCCTTCAGCTGATTCTATTAGAACTCATGTACATTTAATATCACCTGTTTTTAATATTGGAGAACAAGAAGATATTAGTGAATTTATTATTACTTTTTTGGATCATTTTATTTGTTGTTTACCGTCACATCTGCCAATATCATCTACTCTTTCTTTGGAACCAACGATTATTGATCAAATATTCAATATTAAGCTTCTATCATCTGGACAATGTCCATCATGTTTATACACTTTCAAAAAAGAAGAAATTACTAATATATTACTAATCGAAATAAATAATTTAAACAATTTAACTGATGCACTTGCACATTTCTTTGATCGAGAAGTAGTAAGCTCCTTTACATGTAGTAATTGTTGTAAATGTGTAAAACTCGACAAGCGTATTACTATTAATGAACTATCACCAATATTAATTATAAATTTTAAACGATGCACTATGTCATTTGATTCAACTGAAAAGCTTTCACATCAAGTGAATTACAATGAATTATTAGATGTTTCTCCTTATATGACGCCTTATTCACTTGCTTCAAGCGAAAAAACTGAAAAGATTAATTCATCAAATAATTTTTTTTACAAATTGTACGCCATCATCAATCATATTGGTGATAATCTTAATAGCGGTCATTATTATTCTCATGCCCGATCAGTAGACAACTGTTGGTTTCTTGTCGACGATGCACATTGTGCAAATGTATCTTCAATTGAAGTTTTAAACCATCCTGAAGCTTTAATACTATTTTATGCTAATGTATTTCATATGTCCAAAACAGTAGATACGTTATTTCAACAAATACCAAAACCATTAACATCTGTAATAACAGAAAGCAACATTGCCTCGAATTCTTCTATTTTAAGCTCATCTGTATGAATATTATATTTATACCCTGAATTTTTGTCAAACAATCTTTTTTAGATGCCAGCAAATTCAACATCTATTAATGAATCAATAATATTTTCGGATGAAAAAATATCGAAAACCAAGTCTTTAATAATTACGACGAAAGCGATGCAATCTGATAATTGTCAGTTATTTTTTTATTAATTTTTTTTCTTTCAATTTTTCTATTATAGTGAATTCCTTACGTAATATTCAATCAATGTCTGACAATACTCTTTCTACAGTTAATTCATCAAAAACTATTGTTTTAAACAAGGATCCTGTCCCTGAAGAAACAGAAAGTAGTATAACAATTATTAAAAAATGTTCAAACAAACTCATCAAAGATAAACAGAAGACCATTGATCATATATTAAATAAAGGTATGAACAATCGCTCAATATTGTTGACTATTGTGATATTATTTGCATCCTTCTTAAGCTTCAGATATATCACAACAACCAATGTATTATAAAAAGTCTTTCTTAAATAAAACATTTGATGATTCAATACATCAAGTATCTGATGGTAAAGAAACAAAAAAAGGTCAGTAAAATGAACGATATATTATCATGATTTCTATATGAACCACAAATAAATCTTCATAACATAAGTTTTTCAAAAACGAATACCTAAGTAATTCACTTAGTCAAATCAATTAATAACCATATTTAATTTCTATTTTAGTATCTTACAGATAATCATACAATTACTAGATTCAGAGTCATTGATTATTGCATTTAAAATCTTTCATAAATAATATGTCAATTATGCTTTTTAAACCTTACTAAGACTCTTTCTATTCAATCAATACTTTGACGAAAAATAATCAAACGACTTAAGTTTTTCGAAAGAGTTACCTTTTAACTTCAAATAGAGATTAACATTCACTTGTTGAGTTCGTATTTGTCTCGTAATAGACTGCTTATAAATTTGCTTAAGTTTCAAGAGAACTTTAAATACTGTTTTACGTACACAATAATTATATTTAATTTTAAAATAATTTTTAAAATATTGATACATGTAATTGATTCATTCTACTTTTTAACTTTTGCTATTGATCTCCATAGAATAGCTAGTTTCTATTTACAAACTTTTTGCTTTACAAAAGTCATGTTTTATCTATTTAGTTAATACAGCTCTAATAGCTTTGTTGTTTTTTTTAGAAACTTGTAAGAAATTAGCATCAGTGGCAGCAGGTGTATCGATTGACGAAATATATGAAGATACACTTGAACAAAAGCACTTCTTTCGTTTAAGTCAAAATGAACTCTTAAAAATGAATAAATTTCGGCAAGAAGAATTAGAAAAACAATCTAATCGCAAAATGCAACTGCCCAGTCAAGCAAAAAAATCAGAAAACGCGTTTAAACACTATAAAAATCGTGAACGTTTTCGGATGCTAATCGCGGTTCCCGTTTGTG